GGGGAAGGGGAAAAAAATAAGAACCAAGAGACTCATGTAATGGTACAAGATCCCAATGATGAATGTAACTGTATTTTATACTGAAAATGTACCAATAAACTTAATGGGAAAAAAAAAGAAAAACGAATCACATCACATCTTTCTCCATGCTCCAGTAAAAGTTTAGGGAGAGACAGGGCTCTATAACCTAAGATGGACACAGTGGTTAGTAAATTACCAACAAATTGAACTTTCTTATTTTTCTTTACAAAAGCTGTTACAATCATCTTGACCACATTTGAAGAAAATGAAACCAACTCATTTTAATAATAATCTGCTTAGAATCCTTGAAGAGAACCTGAAGTTTTCTGAAACTTAATTAGGATCCCCAAGAAAGGTAAAAAGACTAGTTTCACTACTTGTGAGACAGCAGTTTTCAATAAAATTCTGCATTGAAAAGTTCAATGAATAGTAAATACCACTACCTACCCAGCTGGTGCAATTTATCACCAAGATCTGAGAATTCTATTTTCAATTTGTTGCATTTTGCTCCATTCCTACTACTTTATATCAGGTCACTTCAGATCTTGTCTAAATTATTACAGCAATCTCTTAATCAGCCTTTTCATAGCCTGCATTCTATACACAGTAGCCAAAACTGTGTAAAAACAGAGTTCAAACTTCTAAAAAAGGTCTTTATAAGGCCCTTTATCATCTTACCTCTTCATATTTTCCTGGCTTCATCCTTTACCACTACTACCTCCACTCCTACCCAATATGCAAATACTACAAATATGTGTTCTCTCATATACAATATATGAGGTGTGATCAAAATATATGGTATGTGTTTAAGTTAGGAAAGTTAATTATAGTAGAAGACATATTGTCATTAAACCCTCTCAAAATATTTCCCTTCACTTCGAACACATTTATGCCATCAATCTTGTCACTTTATGAAGCAGTTCTGGAAGTCCTCTTTCATGAGTGTTTTTATGAGGTATGATCAAAAATATGTCATCCAACAGAAAGGCAAGCTTGTAAAAACATTACAGTGTGTCCTCATTTACCTCAGTGAGCAGATTTAACACCATGTGACTTCTAACTCTTCCACAAAATCAAAACGACCATGAAAAGAAAACATTTTGAATCAATTCAGGACATTAAGGCAATCACAACAGCACAACCTAAAGACACTCGTGAAAGAGGACTTCCAGAAATGCTTCAGAAAGTGGCAAGAATGATGGGATAAGTGTGTTCAAAGCAAGGGGAAGTATTTTGGAGGGAGATTAATGGCAATTTAATTATTTTTAAATTTTAAACCTTCACCATATGTTTGGATCACATCTGCCACACTCAAGTTATCCACAGTGCCCCCAAAGCAACAACTGCCCTTGAAGCCTCTGTACTTGCTCCTTCCTGACTGAATTGTTCTCTTCAACTCATCACCTTTTGTTTTTGCTTACTGACTCATCCTGAAGTCTGATTTTAAATGCTGAATCTTCTGTGAGACCTTCACTGTCCAAGTCCTTCCCAAGCAGCCCAATTTGATGAACCATACACCCTGAATTTACTCTTCATACAACAATTCTCACTCTGAACCATTGTCATTTACCTAATTTTCTGTCCAAATATAAGATACCTGAGGGTAGGAGATAATGTCTTACTCAGTATTGTGCTCTTAGCATCTTGCTCAATGCCTGATTCACATGAGAAGCTGAGCAAATTCACTGAGTGAATGAATGTATCATGAAAGAGGATATAGCAGTTTTGAAAACCTGAATTAAAGGGATAACATACCTGTCTTTCCAACTCTTGTCCTGTTATACCAGCCTCTACATGAGCTGTCAGATTATTCTCATCAACCCAAAGAATTCGATTCTGTAAAGGAAGACAGAAATCTCACCTCTAGGAACTATGAAGATTTTCTCCAGAAAGATACCACTTCTTTTTTGTTGTTGTTTTTTTGTTTGTGGTACCGGGGATCGAACTTGGGTCCTTGCGCTTGTGCAGCAGGTGGCAAAACCACTGAGCTAAATCCCCAGCCCAGATATCACTTCTTAATTCTAAGCAACAAGTTACAAGATAGTGATTAAGGAAGTAGGGTTCCCCACTCCCACTCACACGGGAAACATGCCCCTCCTATACCTTACTACATTACATAGTAACAAAGTTAGTATATGATGTAGAGTTGGCTTGAAATAGACTCTTCTTTATGGAGGTATTAATCTGAATTAAATTCCACCTCTTAGCTTATGCAAATAACTGTCTAGGCTTCACACACACACAAATGTATGTGTGTGTGTACATATATATATATATATTCATAAATTATTTTCTACTACTAAAAATAGACTTCTTAGTTGGGCCTGATGGGACACACCTATAATCCCAGTATTCTGAGGCAGGGGCCCATCCTGTGTAAGTGAACACCTTAGTGAGATCTTGTCTCAAAATAAAAAATAAAAAAGTGGTGGGAATGTAATTCAGTGTGAAGGCCCTAGGTTCAATTCTCAACTCTTAAACAACAATGAATCTAAACTTTAGAAAATAATCTTATCATTAAAATCACACCTTTCACAAATCCCTATACAAAAATATAACGGTATTAGTGTAAATTTGGGAGAGAAATTGAGTTTTGGTTATTCAAATTAACCTTAAGTAATATTATCTATTCTGTTTCTAATAATAAAAACCAGGTCACCTAATGTGTCAATATTCCAATTTATGATTCTCAAATGATCAATTTCACATGCTAATTTGGTAGAATAACATCAGATATGTACCTTAGAGAAATGAACTTAGCTTTTGGATACCTGAAGATAAGGCTAATATATAATGATGAAATGCATTTAAAACAAAATGAAAAAAGAAGGAAAAATTGGAAACAAAGTTTTTGTAAATAAGGAGGGGAAGAAGGGTTGAAGAGAGGATAGGGGAATAGAAAAAAATAAGAATCAAGATATATCAATGCAAAATAGGAAGAAAAGGTTCAAAGGGATAGGGTAGTGGGTGGGGCAGGGGAAAGGAAAGAAGGGAAAGGAAAAATGATGAGAAATGGAAAAAATGGAAATAAAGTCTTTGTAAATAGGGAAGGGTGGAGGGGGTGAAGGGAGGGCTAGGAATGGGGAAAAAATAAGAACCAAGATACATCATGTAAAGGTACAATTCCCAATGAGAAATGTAAATGTGTTGTACACCTACAATGTACCAATAAAAAAATTTAAGAAAAAAAAAAAGATATATCATGTACAGGTATAAATTCCCTATGATGAATGTGATTGTTATGTGTACCTAAAATGTACCAATAAACTCAATTATAAAAAAAAAACTTATGATGAAACATTTATATGTCAACCATAAAATAATAATAATAAAAATAAAACAAAATGGAAAACACATCTTTTTTTAAATGACAACTGAGGCAGAACCATAAGGACAATGTTTTAAACAGAAACTATCTGCAAATACATCTTATATTATCATTTACCATTTGTGAAGTATCCAAAGAAATTATTGTTCTTGTCTCATCCGCAGGACACATTAGGCCATATGAAACACTTGTTCCTCCTGCCAAAAGAGGAAACAACAACTTTATGGTTAAATATTTTACTTTCAGCTATAATTCTAGGGCAAATATCTAAAAATATACAGTGAGACCCAGTAAGAAAGTCACACCTATTTCTATTGCAAAATAGTTTGCAAAAGCTAACACACTAAAAGCAAACTCACCTTTATTTTATGCTTTGTGCCAAAATGAAGCAGTATTATGGAACTGAAAGCAATGGGACATGGCTCCATCCCCTGGACGTGATACACTCAAGTGAAGTCCCTAGCAATTTGTAGAACTCCAAGAACATAATTAGAAAAGTTCTAACCTAATGATTACTGTGAAGTAATTAAAAAAAGAAAAAGACTCATCATACACAACTAGAGATACCATTAAGTCCTTTCTACCTTAAAAATTGAGATTCTTTTAGCATTTAAAATAATATCTTATATTCTCATACAAAAGGGCTTTTCTAGAATAGAAACAAGTTAAAGTGTCTAGATTATACATTTAAACAATTTTTATATTTTTTTATGAAAAGGTCCTTTTAATATAGAATGGTACATAGATGTATTTAAAGAATATGCTGCTGTTTTCTCTTAACATTCGCCATAAAAAGAAAAATGTTTTTTGATACCAATAAAGAATAATGTTTTCGGGCCGGAGATTTAGCTCAGTGGTTTCGCCACCTGCTGCACAAGCGCAAGCGTAAGGACCTGAGTTCAATCCCTGGTACCAAAAAAAAAATAATAATAATAATGTTTTCAGGGCCGGGGATTTAGCTCAGTGGTTGCGCTGCCTGCCTCGCAAGCTCAAGGACCCGAGTTCGATCCCCAGTACCAAACAAAACAAAACAAAAAAGAATAATGTTTTCAGCCCCCCTCCTCCCCTGTACAGGGGATCGAACCCAGGACCTTGCACTTGCCAGGCAGGTGCAAAGCCACAGAGCTACATCCCCAGCCCTCAGCTCTTAACTAGATCTGCAACACTCTATATCAGAATAAAATTTTAATTGGTACTTCTATACATTTTGTGTGGAAGAAAACATGTGGAGGTCACCTTCCCTACGAAGGGAAGTACTTATATGGGGTTACCCAGGGGGCGCTTCTCTGTAAGGATCAGCTTAATTTCACAAGATCAGACCATGAATTGCCAGTTACAAACATAATACTTTTGATTAGTAACTATTATTTGCTTGTACTGTCATTTACAATCAGAAAAATATTGCATATAGAGTGGCACTATAGTGTCTTTTGCATGAATTCAACAGATAATATCAGCTGAAGAGGGAACCTAGAGCTCTGGGAGCTGCTGAGATCCTACTTCCATTCCATCAATGCCAAGTTGATCACTGAAAGTAACATCCTTTGGCTATATATTATGTGACTGAAAAATATGGTGAGTTTTTAAAAAATTTATCACAGTAAAAGATATATTACCATAAATCCCTCTCAAAATACTCCTCTTGGCTTCAAACACACTTATCCCTTCTTTCTTCCCACTTTCTGAAGCAGCTCTAAAATGCATCATCTGTCCTGTCTTTGGTTGCTGCTATCATGGCTGTCTTGATCTGATTAAATTTAAAACATTTACCTTTTATGGTTATTTTGGCTTTGGGGAAAAGCCAGAAGTTACAAGGTACCAGATTCAGTGAATAAGGTGGACGAGGACACACCATAATGTTTTTATTTGACAGAAATAAGCTTTTTTAATCAATTCGGGACATTGAGACATCCACGACAGTGCAATCAAAGATACTCACGAAAGAGTACTTCCAGACCTGCTTCAGAGAGTGGCAAGAAGAATGGGATAAGTATGAAGCCAGGAGTATTTTGAGAGGGATTAATGCAATGGGTCTTTCACTATAATAATTTATTTTTTAATTTAAACACACATCGTATATTTTGATTATACCAAATAAGTTATTAAAACAATGTAGTTAATAAAAGATCAAAAGAAATAAAATTCATTTCAAAATCCAAAAGTGTTATTTTTCCGTATTAAAAACATTGATTTATTACTATACTGGTGATACTTACTCTGAATTATGTTTTCTGATTACTCTGTTTCTCAAAAAGTTGGATATATTTGTATTTTCCCTTTGAAAAATAAAATTCTCTCCATAAACATAAAGGTTAGAAAGTAATTACTGGGCCAGGGATGTAGCTCAGTGGCACTGTGCCTACCTGGCAAGCACAAGGTCCTGAGTTCGATCACCAGTACCAGAAAAAGAAAACAAAAGAAAGTAATTACTAAAGCAAGAACTTTTCCTTTTTTCTTTTTAAACACTGAGCTGCATGTCTTTATTCTGTGTTGAGACAGAGTCTCATTAAGTTGCTAAGTTGCCCAGGCTAAGGTGAAACTTGTGATCGCCCTGCCTCCCTCTGCCTCCCAGAGTGCTAGGATTACATCCACCACCATGCCTGGCTAGGAACGACTTCTTTATCAGCCATTACATAACAGCTTCTGATCTACATAGGAAAAATCCATGAATTAAAGGGTTATACTATGTCTCAGTTTTGACAGAATTCCTCAGAACAGAAATGAGCACCATGAACCAATTTTTGAAAATAAACACATCATAATTACAAAAATGTTTGTATTCGGGAATGGCACAAACATTTTAAACGAAACAAATTTACATCATATTAAAATTTGAAAAGCACAATACCTACCCCCAATTGGTATGATACAAAGGTTGTATTTGCATGCTAGATTCACAATCTTAACTACATCATCATGACAAGCTGTTGAAAGAAAAGGAAAATAAATTAATTACTTGGATGTGATTAAGATCTGGGTAACCTTTTATAATACAAGAACTTTATAAAGTTCTTTAACGTGTAAATTTTTCCTTCATTTATTCATTGATTAACAAATGAAACAACTGTATTAAAAGATGGGTTCTTTTCAACCTTCCATTTTGAAATGATTTCAGACTTACAAAAAAGCCATGAAAATAAGATAAAGATTCCCTTCACCTTACATTTCCAAACAGGAGTATCTTACATAATAATAGTCCAATTATTAGAACCAAGCAATTAGCACAATACAAAGCAATTAACTAATCTATAGACCTTACTCAAATGTTGCCAGTTGTTCCACTAACATCCTCTTTTCTGGACGAACACATCAAATCCAAGCTCACACATTGATTTAGCTAATGTATTTTCATTAAAAATAGGTATTTTCTATGCCAGAAGGCCATGGTTTCAATCCTCGCATTGTAAAAAAAAATTAAGATAAATATTTCTTGAGTCTATCTTTTACTTTCATGACCATGACACTTTTGAATACTAGTCAGTTATTTCACAGACTACCTCTCTAAATTTGGGTTTGCGTATGTTTACTCAAGATTAAACTATATATAGAAAAGTATATATCTCACATATTTAATCAGGAATTCCACAGAAGTAGTGTTTGCTCCCCTCTCAGAACATTACTTTTGGAGCCACACACTACAGATGTGTCGTGTTTCTGGTAATGTTAACTTTGATTATTTGGTTAGGTAGTGTCTGCTAGGGTTTACTATAAAGGATTCTAAATTTTCTGTTGAAATTAACAAATGTCTATAGACTACTGTGTATAGTATGCTTCTCATTACATGAACCCACTAATTTCAGCACCACTGCTTACCCTTTATTCTGCTTTTTAAACAAAGTTAAAATTTTCCACAAAATACACCTGCAGAGAAATTTCTTTCTACTGTACTCAACAGAAGGGTTTTCTTTACTAATGTTAAAGTTATCTAAATAACAAAAACTTAACTGTGGAGGATTTTAAATTCCACGACATGCTAAGACTTGACCGGTAGCAGAACATTAGTAGAGGTTCTTTAGAAGGAGGAGAACATGGCCCGGGGATTTAGCACAGCGGCACCATCCCTGCTTTGCAAGTGAAAGGTCCTGAGTTTGATCCCTGGCACCAGAAGAAAAAAAACAAAACAAAACAGAAGGGAAGTCTAGAAGGAGAAAGATATGCCAAAGAGATTATTTTGGAAAAAGCCATCTCCAATAGAATATGGGACCATACAGAAGAGAAAAATTTCAGACAAGGAAGCTGTTAAAGTCTAGTATTAATTGCTAGGATCCTGGCAAAGAAATACAGATGCTAAGGAAACAAGACATATGAATATACATTTATGAAGGCAAAACTAATGCCGTATAAATGTTGCTATTATTATTTTATTATTTCTCAGGTTCACATAAAGCTAGAAATTTATGTCATTTATCTTTTTTTTTTGGTGCTAGGGATAAAACCCATGGTCTCACATATGCTAAACATGCATTTACCACTAAGCCACACCCCAGCCCATTCTAATTTTTTATAAAAATTCATTTTCAAGCTTTCAGATTATTTTCATAAAGCTTACTATTTGTAGCAAAAAAATTATGAAGTATGCAGTAATTAACAAAACATTAAAATTTATCTGTTAAAAATCTTTAAAAGGCAAAACTACATTCTATGAATGTCACCTAACCAAAAGACATCCCTGATCATTTTATTTGAAATATGATAATATATCCAACCTATCATGCACTTTTTCATTGTATCTTCTTGCATGATTTATTTTTGTTATCACTATCTAAATGCTATATATTTGTTTGTTCCCATTAAATCCTAAGGCAGCTGAGAACGCGGATTTTTTGGTTTGCTTACTGTTATCCTCAGCACATAGAACAGTACCCAGCCTGTATTTTCACAGGCCTGAAATTATAGAAATTAAGCCACTGAAAAGTATGCATAAATACTAAATAAATGAAGTAATTTCTAAAACATGCTATTGCTAAAGAAGATTTTAAGCTTGCTAAGCATAACTACCATGAAAAACATGCATTATATGAGTGACTAACCATCTATCCAAACTAAAGGTAAAGATATTGCTATGAATTATATGTAGATGTCCTCCTAAAGCCTCATGTGCCTATAGGTAGGGCTTTTCGGGAGTGGCTGGATCTAGGTGTATGAAAACGGATTAAGGATTAAATTAGGCCACTGACTGATTTAGCATGGTTCTAGGTATAGATAATAGGAAGGCCCACCTTGGGTGTGAGTGGCCCCAACCAATAGGCATGTAGTCTAGATGGGATAAAAAGGAAAGGAAGGCTTGCTGCTGTGCTTTCTGCTCCCTCCTACCTGCTATGCTATGAACTGTTCTCCTCTGCAATGCCTCTTTGTATGCCACCCTGCCTTGGAGCCAGTCGACTATGGGATGAAACCTCTATAAACTGTGAGCTAAAATAAACCTTTCTTCCTTTAACTTGTGGGTGTCAAGTATTGTGTCTCAGTGAAAAGAAAAGTAAGACAGATATCTATGCTGGATAAATGTCATAAAGGTGAAAATCCTGCTTTATGGTGACCTCAAATCAGAGAATTTCCTTAGGGGTGTGAGTGGTATGTGTGTATGCAAATGTAAGATGGGACAGCCACCTCCACTCGATGGAACTGCTTTAAATTACCACACTGCCTCAAAATATATTGCCTCAATATATTGCCTCAATATATTGCCTTCATGCAAAGGAAAACTTGGATTTCTTCTATTTCATGGTATTTTATCTTATGAATAACTAAATTTCCATACTAAACAGAGACAAAAGATTTATTTTCTAACTATCCAAGTGCACAGGAGAATATATATCCCAAGTATAAGCAAACTCAATTTCATCTCTTGCATATGCTCTTGGATCTACCTCCTGTTATCTTACCTCTCCTGAATCACCATATTAAAATACATTTTTTCCTTCAAGTAGTCCCTACAAAGTTGAAGGATCTTATCTAAGATCTGAGAGTCCATGAATGACCCAGTATTTTTGAAAATTAAATATTCTATGTACTCTGAAGAAGATGTGAAGAGAAAAAAAATCAGAAAACCAATGAAACTTTTAAAAAATGCAATCATGGACAGTAAGGAATAGTATACTTGTCCTGTTTTAAATTACCTGCCAAAAAAGATGAATTTTTAAAAAAATATGTAGTGCCTAATCCTAGAAAGACCAAAATAACAGAGGCTGGGCATGTGGTGCATTCCTGTAATCCCAGCACTCGGGAGGCTAAGGCAGAAGGATTACTGCAAGTTCGAGGCCAGCCTCAGCTACGTAGTAAGTTCAAGGTCAGCCTAAACTGCATAGTGAGACTCTGTCTCAAAAAAAGAAAACAAAAAAAACAGAAAGCTCATCCATGTTCTATCTCAAGCCAAATCCAAATTTCTCAAAACTTACTCATTCCAAAGGCATTAAGTATATAAATATATATTTATTTTCAACAACTTGTTTTACCCTTTAACCACGCCTTTAAGCCCAAGCTAATATTAACAAATTACTATTTGTTTATAGAAACCCAATTAGGTTAATTTTCTATATCTGAATATATCATATATTTGATAATTCCATTAAGCTTCAAAATTAACCAAAAATATATTTTTCTACTGACCTCCAAATACAATTACTTACAAAATGAAGACTTAATCATCAACAACAAAGTCAATCCTTAAAACTAAGAGTTCAGGACTATCAGATTAAGAAAGGGCTCCACTGGGGAAAGCTATGATCGAAGATTATTATATAAATGTGTGACAATATCACAAGGAAACCTATATTCTGTATAATAAATATGCACTAATAAGAATTTTAAAAGAAATGGCTTCATGAATTTTGATAAACTCTGAAAAATATAGCTACCAATATTTTTACAGTATATGTTACAAAATATGTATTTCCAATACTGCCTTTACCTAAGATTTAACAATACTAATTTAATGATACAAAAAGGAAAAGCAACTTACTTGGCCATAAAACTATATCGGGAATTCTCTGAAACATTCCTTCCCTGAGCAAAAATATCTCATGAAGACAATGACCTGTTTTGTGGTTTGAAAAAGAAAAATGCAAAAACATCTTAGAGAAAATTTTTTAATTAAAAGTAAATATAATGTAATATAAAACAGCTTACCATGAGCTCTAAATACTCGATCATCTGCCTCTTGTGAGTATGAAATATTAGTTTCTTTAAGTTCATGAAGAAAATCTTCATTTACAATAGAAGGAGGTGTATCACTAGGATTTAAGGATGCCTAAAAAATAAAGGTAGTTTCTTTTATTTCTAGAAAATAAATTTTGAATATCTTAAGGAAAATTAATATAAAATGTAGATTTCTTTCTTATATTCAAAGACAAGAACAAGAAAATATCAAGTAATACATACAGAAATCAACTTTCTCACAGTTGCAAATTATAAAACGCCTGGTTAATCATATCCTATAACATAAGTTAAAGAGGCCCTAAGTTTTCTCTTTGTCTCTATGGTCCACATTTTAATTATTTTGCAATCAAAACTGCAATCAAGAACAGGTCAGTTAAAGCCAGGTGTAGTGGCACAGCCTGTAATTCCAGCACTCAGAAGCCTGAGCCAGGAGGATCTCCAGGAGCTCAAGGCCAGCCTGAACTACATAGCAACACCCTGTCTCAAAAAACAAATAAACAAACAAACAAACAAAAAGAATAGGTAAAACAGCAAAGTCTCAAATCTTCAATTTCAGATTAAGGAGACTGGGGAAAACCTACCTGTGATTTACATTATCTACTTTTTTACTTATAGACAAAATTTATCATTTCCTATTTTTCAATAACCATTTTAAAATGATTAATAGAAAGTTTTATACTAAGTCATAAAACCATTTTTACAGGCTTTAAAACTCATGACATCATTTTAAATTTGACACTTAATTTCATCTAATAGGTATCTGGAAATCTAAATCTCAAAATTAAAACCATGTGGGCCAAGGATTTAACCTCAGTGGTTCCACAACCTGCCTCACAAGCGCCAAGGTCCCAAGTTCAATCCTCGGTACCAAAAAAAATTAAAACTATGCGACACTGGGCATGTCATTCAACTTCTGTGAGCCTTGGTATCTTCATTGTTAAATACAATTATCACCACCAAATATGTAGGGTTACTATAAGGAAAGCAGGTAATAAATATATGCCATTGTGTGTGTCTGTGTGTGTGTATGAAAGGCACCTAACAGCATCTCTAGCATATCAAATCTATGGCGGAAAAAAGCTATGATACAATATTTGTAAAAAAGAAAGCAAAAGTATATATAAGAGCCGGAGATGTAGCTCAGTGGTTCTGCAGCCTGCCTCGCAAGCGCAAGGAACCGAGTTCAATCCCCAGTACCAAAAAAAGTATATATAAGAAAAAATATATAATATTTCTATAATATCTTAGATTCTCACTGTTACTGCAATCATTCATATAATAAATATTTATTGAGTACTTTCTATAAACTAGGTACTGTTTGAGGGCCTAGGGATACAGAAATTAGCTAAAAAAAGAAAAAAAGAAATCTTGACCTCATAGAATTTATCCTGTAGTAGAAAGAAATGACCAAAAGAACTCCAACAAAGTATATCAATTAATATCTTAAGTTATTAAAAAAACCGAAAAGGACTCCAAAGCTAAAAGTAGTAAAAAGTGTGAATACACTATGTCAATTGTATCAATGTCAAAAACAAGTAATCACAGGGCTGGGAATTTAGCTCAGTGGTGCCTCTGCCTGCCTTGCAAGTGCAAGGTCCCAAGTTTGATTCCCAGTACCCCTCCCCCAAAAAAGTAGTAACAAATAAATGAAAGAGAAAAAGAATTTACAAGATGAAAAAAGAAAAGAAAAGTTACAAGAATTTACTCTGAGGGGATAGGAATTAGTCATTCAGTTTCATTTCATTAATAGACTAAAATAATTGTAGATTTAAAAGGATTAAATATTTCTGTTTTCTGAAGTTATTTTGTAGTTTGTTTTCTATTAAAATGTATTTAGTTTCAAAAAAATAATAATAATAATTGTAGATTTAAAAGCAAATCTAGGCCCAGGGATTTAGCTCAGTGGTTTCAATGCCTGCTGTGCAAGCGGAAGGACCCGAGTTCGATCACGGGTACCAAAAAAAAAAGCAAATCTAACAAGTATTCTTTGACCACCAGTACCTCTTAATACCATGCTGGATACAGTGGAGACTATCATGTAAGACACAGCCCCTGCAGTCATGAAACTTGTATCCCGTTTAAGAGATGGGTAAAATACATCATGGATAACAAAACAATAAAAAGAACAATATAAAAAAAATACTATGGGGCCAGGAATTAAGCTCAGTGGTTCCGCCGCCTGCCTTGCAAACGGAAGGATCCGAGTTTGATGCCTAGTACCAAAAAAAAAAAAAAAAAAAAAAACTAAATATTTCACTGGTATGATATGTATACAATTTAGTTTTTTAATCCCACTTTCAGAAAAGTGCAGCCATATGACCAAACTAAAATTGTCTTATCATTCATATCTTAATCAACTTTTTACATTTTTAAATCTTCAAATATTCTACGTGTTCTAATACAGTAAATGTAACATATTTTTATTTTAAACCTAGATTACTGTCAATCTATTATTTTAAAATGTTATCATTTAAATAGTAACTTTTTGCAACAAAGTTCTCTCACAAATAAACTAATTTGTACTTTACTACTACCCTGGGAGAGGTAGAACAGTTATTATTCCCACTTCTGAAATTATTATAGCCAAAGATCAAAGAAGATAAAAAAATTATGCCAAATCTCATAAAAATTCTGAAATTAGAATATAGATCTGCAACACTAAAAAACTACACCCAGAAAACCTAAAAAGGCCCACATAAATTATTAGTTTCATAACAAAAGCCCATGACAATCGTATTAAAGCAAATACAACCAATCACAAAGATAAACCTAATTAATTTGGGATAAAAAACACAGGTAAGCTTGTTAGTAATTATTCTCATTTGCTTACTTTAGAGGTAGTTTTATGGTCCAGACTTGCTCCAAAGGTATTCTGGATCCAATCTTTAAGAGTTGGTAAAACCATACCACTAAGAGGGTACCTAAGGAACAAAAAAGAGCAAAGTATTCTCATTTAAATTTGAAATTTAGCTTCTGCTTCCCATTATGGCCAAAAAGCTCCTGTTGAAGCAACCATCTCAAATATAACTATAAACTCTGTACAAAAATAAAACAACAAACAAAACCCAGCTATCTAAAGACAGCATAGACAGACCAAAAGCAGGCAAAAATAGGAGGAATGGGATGTCCTACTTTTGGAAAAAGGAAAAGGCATTATATGAGTTTCCAGTTTTGTTCTGTTTTGTAAACAGCTGTTAGCCTGACGGAAAGTCCCAGCTGGTGCCAAAAAAGGTAATAAAAATACTGAAAATCAAGTTTTCCTGGGTTGAAAAACCAGGAGAGTGTTTGATATCAACAACAGCATCTGGAAAGGATACAAGGAAATCAGAGAGTCAGAGAGGGACCTAGGTATCAATTTTGTCCAAATATCCGGCTGATTCTGAATTACACATGTATGAAATACTGTATGTATTGGAGACTTCCAAACAGCCCAGCTAAAAGAACTGAACCAACAATTCAGCTGCTCATCACTACAAAGGGAGTATCAAGTCTGAGGTCAACCAAGTTAATTATTTGATTTTAAAAAAAGAAAAGCTTCTTCAGAACAATATAACAGTTCAGTTTCTGCAACATAATAATCACAACATCCAGGACACTCCAAAATTATTACACATGAATAAACAAGAAAATGGGATCCATAATTCAGAAGAAGGGCAATTAATGACAACTGACCCAAAGATGACCCAAGATAGTGCAAACAGCACACAAGGACTTTAAAGCAGCTATAATAACTAGGCAAAAGACCTAAGGAAAAAAATATTCTCCCAGTGAGTGACAGAAAAGTAACCTCTGCAGAAGCACCCAAATTCTTCTTTCTCACTGATTCGACTTGAATCAAGTTGCAAAGAAATGAAGCCTAGGGCCGGGGATTTAGCTCAGTGGTTTCGCTGCCTGCTGCGCAAGCGCAAGGACCCGAGTTCAATCCCCAGTACCAAAAAAAAAAAAAAAAGAAATGAAGCCTTCTAAGGAACCCATTCTGGTAAGAGTGGCAGAGGCAGTGATCTTCTAATGTCTAAAATCAATAGATAAATTCTCCAGTTCTACTACTGCCTGGATAAAAATCTCTATTGGGACCATCAAATTCCTTCTGCTCTGAATTTATACTCTCCAAACAATATGTGAATGCAAATTTTGTTCTCTTATAATAAGGACAGTCCTGAAATAGGGACAATCTAATCATAAATGAATATACTGGGACTCTAATTTGTAAAATCATTCTCAGAAGTGTGGCCTATGAGACAGTTTTCAAAAGTGTAGCTAGCCCATGTGTCAGTTCTCAACAGCCTGATCTCCTCTAGAAAAACTGATAAATCAAGTGCCAGAACATCTAAAATAAGAACTAGATTATGAGACTGTGGAACTCATTAAGGTGTAGCTATCTGCGGCTAATCACTCACTGCAATATACTTCTACTCTAAACCAGTAGATTACCTAGAGTATTCCACAGAGGACTACAGGCATCTTATGTTTTCAATGATACTGTGATAAATAAAATTCAAGTGACTGTTTCCTTTCAAATAGTAGAAATACTATACCTTCAAGATCCTAAGAAAGAGAAATGGGTAACTTCTAAAAAAAGAGACAGCTGATTTTATAAGTTCAGAATTTTTTTTTTCTCCAAAAGATTGTGAAAAGCCATGTTTCACATAGATAAGTGTCTAATGTTTTGGACATAATTCTATTTAAAACATAAAAGACTTAAGATTTAGACCACTGGCAAATTTAAGTTTAACCAAAAATCCCTTTCTTCTACAAAATTTCTCAAATAAGCCTCTATCTGCATGCTGCCCAGGTATTTATAAGGATTAAAAACAGAACATAGATATCTATCTTTTCTATTAAAAATAAATGTTGGGCCAGGGATTTAGCTCAGTGGCACCGCCCCTGCCTCGCAGGCGCAAGGTCCTAAGTTCGATCCCCAGTACCAAATAAAAAATAAAAAATAAAATAAATGTCAAGATACATCTTCATACTTTCATTAAAATTAGCTTCTAATTATACTCCTGATGTTTTACTTCAGGTACAAAAATAATACATGTAAGTCAGAAAAAAGAAAGAGTTATATTGCAAATAAAAGGAAATAAATTTCTCAAAAAAAATTTCCCTGCTGACATTTTAACATACTAACACACAACCTAAGCATATTAATGCCCAAAAGGTATTAAATCAAAGTGTAATACTAAAATAGACTCATAATTCATCTGATCTAATTTTTCACTTAAGTCTCAATTCTTTATTTTTAAAGCCAATATTCAAGCATCACATATTTGTACTCACTGCCCTCTCAAAAGTTACATAGCCTTTATAATTTTATCAACATACTACCAAAAATATTTCAGAAATGTGAAAACTATCAAATGACATCTTTCTTCATCATTTCTTCCTTAATATATCTCAGAAACTAATTTTTAAAATACTATTTATATTCATAAGAACTTAACCCACACTGAGACATAAATTAGCAGACTTAAATATGAAGCTACTTTCAATAAATCAGATGCACAGAGATTGAGCAGTGAAGGGGCTATAGACTTTGCTTCTATACTGATTCAAATAAAGTACCTATAATGTGAAATAAGAAGAAAAGGTCCAAAGGGGAAGGGGAAGTGGGAGGAGTAGGGGCAAAGAAAGAAGGGAATGGAATTAATATGAGAAAAAGAAAAAATGGAAGCAAAGTCTTTGTAGATAGGGAGGGGTGGAGTGGTTGAAGGGAGAGCAGGGGAATGGGGAAAAAAATAAGAACCAAGATGGATTATGTAAAGGTGCAGATTTCCAATGATGAACGTCATTATATTGTATACCTTAAATGTACCAATAAAATTAATTTTTTAAAAATTAAAAAAAAATCAAATAAGCTACCTACCTATAAAAGGCATTTGTGAGAGAATTAGCAAAATGTGAATATGCTTTGAATAGTTAGATATTATAAAATGTTCAGGAAGTATGATAATAGTGTTATATGATTGGTTACACTGGGGGTTTATTTTTTAAGAAACATATTTACAGGGATCATGATAATGCCAGAATTTAAAATATTACAGAAAAGAAGAAATTATGTCAAAATATTGGCATTATTCTTATTATCCTATTTTTATGTTTAAAAATTTTTCTATAGAAAGAGGAAAGAATAAAAGGAATAAGCAAACCAGAGTTACCTTTTCCCAGTCAACTCAACTTGGCCCTTTTTATTTAAGAAGAACCTGGAATCATTATATCCCCATCCATTCCATTTCATGACTTCTTGCCTGATGAGAAGAAAATATATAAATAAGACCTATGCTGAAAATTTCAAAATTAAATAGTACATTATTGAATATTAACTTTCCCAATTATTTAAAAGGCCTTATGCCCACTAATACAGTACCACTTGAATAAAATGAACACATACTAAAATATCTAACATATTAATATTTCTTAATATAGGATCATTCTGATGAGCTACACATGCATCAGTGAGGGCTACAACCAACAGATTTAATGCACTCAAAAGGAAAGGAAAGAAAAGTATTAAAAATAAAGATGATATCCTTAGAATTCAAATGTTTCATTTTGTATACATTAGTAAATTTAAATTTCAGGATGTCCCCCTAAAATTTTGCAATTAAAACTAAGAATTCACTTGAACAGGAAACAAAATTTTGCACATGTTAGAAGAAAAAGAAGTTGTTAACCATCTGCTATAATGACAGTCAATTTACAAGGTAGGTTCGCTAGTAGTAGACACATTTAGTAAAGGAGATTAAAAATCTCAGTGATGAGTTTATAAACGTCCCAAATTCTTCAACTTCTATGTAAGCACCAATCTCTACCTTGACCTATGTAACAGTTAAAGACTATACCAATTTTCAGCGTTCCAAAACAACATGCTATTTTTAATTTCTAAAGTACCAATACTTCATAGTTTTAAAAATCATTTTCATCAAAATCAATGACTCAGTCATTGATTAAAATCATTCAAGTTTTTAAAAATCATTCAATTTTGCACATTATATAAGAACAGAAAGGTCTGGGCCTGTGCAAAACACAGCAAGCAAGGGCCAGGGATTCAGCTCAGTGGTGCCGCCACCTGCCTCGCAAGAGCAATGTCCTGAGTTCGATCCCCTGTACCAAAAAAAAAAAAAAACACAGCAAGAAACCACACTGAACTATGGTGTCCATCTTTATCACAGGTTTTCCCATCATACTCTAGTGTGATTCTGGCTACTGAAACAAACTGGTGGTAAATTTTCTCACTGCAAATTCAGCTATGCAGTTTGTGATGAAAATAACTCGATGAAAACTGCTCTCTATCCATAAAGTCATTTGATGCATTAACACTTAAAAACAGCAGGTGCAGCAGTACTGCCATCAAACCTGGCTAGACACTTCAACTCTTAAAAGAAAATTCAAAACAAACAGAGATTCACTCATTAGAAAGTGTTCTTCTGCCGGCTTCTATCCCACATACCAAAAAAAAAAGAAAGTGTTCTTCCAATTTTCATAATTCTCAAGGAAGAAGAAAATAGTAACTGACAAGCAAATTTATTGTAATCGTAATTCTTGTTCTAGTTCAAAGGCTTTTCAAAGAAGTGGAACATTAACATAAAACTGAACCGGATATAGGTAATTAAATTTGTACTAAAATCTCATCTATACATAAAACTAAGACAAAGAAACTAGGATGTTCTGTAAAGCTATATCCCCATACAATAAACACAGTCCTCCAGCACCCAGAAGAAAGCTCCCCACCTCCATCCCAGGCTCCTAGGGCAG